TAGGTAAAAAACTCCCTTCAAAAGTTGAAAGGCTTGGCTTTTGCATATGCATATCTTGTGATATCTAATTCTTTTTTAAGGACTCAACAGAAATTTAAATGCCTTTTGTGCCTGGAATTTGCAAATTGCTTTCTCTTTGATCAGCGTGGGTTCATAAGCATTCGGCAGGTTTTCTGTGCTTTGTGGCTTGTATGGCTTTTCTTTTTTTTATCTGGTTTTGATACGTTTTCTAATTTGCTTCTCTTATGTGACATTTCTCAGTTCCTGCAATTTGTCCTTGGAAATAATGAGGGTTTGTACTTGTTTAAAGAACACAGTAAAAAGAAATGGGAGAGACCTGGGGAAACAAACCAAGAAAATTCAGTGAGTAGCATCTTAAGCTGCCACAATTCTTAGGAGTACATATGAACAGAAGCCACACTCTGCTTGCCTTTTCCCATTCACCTACTCAAAAGTCTTCTATATATTTTCCTCACGCTGATGAGCAAGAAAATGAGTGTGAGCTCATTTCAGTGTTAGCTGAGATTCACAACGAACTCTGTCCTTTTAACTTGTCCTGGTAAAACTCAGGATGCCACTGTTCTGCCCATGACATCTCTGAAAATCGATAAAAGGGCTCTGTTTTCAAATAACTTCCCAAGTTATTTGCTGCTGACACACTAAATGGGCAATTTCACGAGGGAACCTTTTGAATAAGAGCTTATTCTTTTGGTACAGGGCACTGCAAGTAAAACTGGAAAGGCCCATTTTAAAGAGAAAGAATCTGATCACGTAGACATTATCTTATTTCACCAAGCTGCTGGATGCCTTGAAAGGCTCATAGGTAATGAACCAACAGGAATCTACCCTGTAGCACAGGCTAGCACTGTTCAACTCATCTTGCTGCTGTTAGCAAGATGCTCTTGTTGTTAGCAGCAAGATACCCCTTTTCTGTAGTGGATCAGCTGGCAGAATGGAACGTAATGCTCAGTTTGTCACCATTTTCCATTAGCTACTTCCTATCCCGAGCTGCTGCTGAATAGCTTAGGTGAATAGAACAAAAGCAGAGCTTGCTGGTATGTGAAACAGAGTGTGACTGCACTAACCATGCAGGACAGGCATGGGACACTGAGCAAACCCAAGGTACGTTGTGCTACAACCAAAAATTATGTACATATATATGTATGTGTGTGTGCATATGTGAATGCATGTATATGTTTGTGTATGTGTGTGTATATATATATACGTGCATTCAGGTCAAATAGTTGACAGAGGGCACTTCAATGGTGCTGAAATGTCACTGTAATTTCTTTTCCACGCACCTGCCTTGTTCTGACCAAAGCCTGGCTTCTGGTGACATCAAATGATGGTGTAAAATTGTAAGGGCAATGCAGCTAACATTTGCTCCCTGGGAAAATCTGTTTCGGCGGAGAACATGTTTGTTGGAAGCACTGTTGGTGCCACAGGACCGGCACTGCTCCTGGCTGGGGCTCAAGCTGCAGAAGCCCCTGGGGAGGTCTCACGTCTCCACTACGGCTGGAAGAAAGAGTTGAATGAAATCGTGCAGCCCACATTAGCAAGAAGTGGGCGGTTTTATTAAAATGTATGAACAGCAACATTTGTGAAAAGAGGAGGCTGAGTTACTCTTATCTGAAATAAGTTTATTCAGCCTTTGATGGGAAAACTTTTATCAAATACATTATTCACTGGTATTATACAACCAGCGCTGGAAAGAATATGTTTAGTCATACAGCCTCAAAACTTGATGTCAGCTAATGCCAGATTTGGTCCAGCATTAGGGAGAGGATGAGACCAATTACCAGAAGCCTTTCTGCACATGTCCAAGGATCTATAGGAAATACTGATCAGGTAGCTTTTAAGGGATAATTTATCCTTTTAAAAAATAAGAGTAAAATTATTATAGAAGGACGGCAGTGGAAAAGGGGTTTGTGATGTAATATACAATTTTGAGATTCCTCAATATTAAATTAGCTATTGTGTATGCTAAGTAAAAATTTGCCTAATCTTCAGATCATAGCTTGACTGTGGTAGCTTCTTTTTTTAAGTATTTATAAATGTTCTGGAAGAACACTCTTTTAAAGGGAAGTATTTGCAGTAATGACACAAGTAAAACACACCCAGAGCAGCATTCATTCCTATGCTGTAATAGGAACAATTTTGTAGGATTGTGCATAAAAACCTGTATTTGTATATATGTATATATGTATATATAGTCCTTCCTATATTCTATATGGTTAAAGTTGTCAGAGAAGAAACATTACTTCTTTTGCTGAAATGGCTGCCATGTTCAAAACTGCAAAGCCAGCTACATCAGCAAACATTTTGCAGCTCAGATGCAGATGGATAGTATGGCAACTCCAACAGCAGCCAGCTTAACACTGGTCTGGACACTTCCACATTCATTCCTAAGTGCTGACAGTTCCTTGCCCTGCCACTGCCCATTCCTTTCATAATACATTCCTGGAGCTACAGGTTAATCCTGAAACAATATTTCTATCGTGTCGATGGATGTAATACGCATCTGTAAATACTGAGGAGGAGCTAAGTTCCTGCCTCGCATACCATATATTCAGCTCTTCATAGTACCACAATATGAAAATCAGATGAATCATTCAACTATTATTTCTTAGTAGCATGGGCAAAATTTAGTATTCACTCTTTTTTTTTTTTTTTTCTTTTTTTTTTCTTTGCTACCAATGACCACATTCAAAAGTGAACAGGATGTAAGGATTTGGCAGGAAGGTATTGCTGAGGTCTGCTGCTAAGAGGTGTAAATACCAACCAGCTCATTGCCGGGTCTCTGGCAGGGACACCACATTTGCAACAGTAAAGTACTGTCTCTTTGCTGTGCAGTGTGGCTGGCTTAGCTTCTTAGACAGTTTAATGAGCATTGCACTTTTGATGCCTGTTACACCACAGTGATTCATGGCACCTGAAGATCTGCCCAGCAGAATTACATTTCAGTTTGCAGCTGAGATGTGGCAAAAAGGGACAAAAAATGCGCTAGGACTTTCCTGACTAAAAGCTCATGCTACATTCACTGGCATTTGGATCATTTGTGATCTGACCCTCTAAAGTGCAGCGGAGTCCTGAACCAGACCTTGCACACCCAAACAAGAATCCTAACTAACCATGGAGTGACACTACTTGCGGGCTAAGAAGCTGGGATTTTGACATAATTTTGGTTTTGTGAAAACTTTCATTGTGAAATGAAAGCAGAAACCAAAACCCAGATTTTCCCACCATTTGGAGCTAGCAGCTTCAACTGGTTCTAGCTCCTCCTGGGACCCTACAGTTTCACACTTACTCTGGTGCATATCAAGTTGTTGAAGTCAATGGTGTTACTTTACAATATACTTAGTGCAAAAAAAGAGAATGTAGCTCTTAGCATTCAGGATCAAGTAATACAGAAAAGGAGGAAAGCTCTTTATATCTGGGTTTTGCTCAGTCTTACAGTTAGACCATAACGATGCAGACACTGTTGGGAAAAACGTGCAATCACACATACTTGCATAGAGTCTTCTACTTTTGCCATAATTTGTCATGCTATTTAAGCTCAGTAACAAGTAACAGAATAAAAGTTGCAATTAGAAGCTGGATTCTCTAATGCATGTTTTGACAGCTTATTTGCATAAAATGTCTCATCATGACACTGAGGATGAGTAAAAAATCTCTTATCACTTTGCTTTTCATCAGGAGAATTCCTTAGGGCATAAAAACAAAGGTCAGATGAAATTCTGAAGTTGTCTTTTTAAAATATTCCCTGAGAAATGAAAAGATCATGGAATAGTAATTTGCGTGGATTTTAATTGCAATCAAAGATACTGCTGCAATGTTTATTTGAGTTTTGTCTTGTGTAATTTCAATAATATAGGACAACCACTTGCACCTATACACTCTGTACCTCAGAGTGTATATATTTCTAACCAATCCCTCCTTCTTCAGAAAGTGAAATTACAGTTTTTCTGGCTCTTTACTACAATATCATGAGACAACTCTGCTGGGCGAACAGGATGAGAGTTCTCAATTAATATACTCAAAGAAATTTATTTGCATTAGTCACTGGCAGATCTACAGCTCAGATCAGTTCATTTTGGCCTCGGAAATTCACATCCAGCTTTGGTGACTCACAAAACTAGTTCTTTTCCTTGTCAGACCACTGCAAATCAAGAAGAAATACAGCCTAAAAGGAGAAGTTCAGCCTATAAATAGTAAAATAGAACATGATCGAGCTCATCATTTTATAATTCCACAGCTGTTGTGCTAACATTATAAGGGAGCTCACTCCCATACCTTAATTAAATACAGAATTGTTTAAGGAAAATAGACTGTTATGCTTGATACTTTTGACACAAATACCATGATTAAATTCTTTAAAAGTAGTAAAAGCAGAAAATTGTTGTAATCTAAAAAAGTGCACAAAGGATACACCACCTATTGCTGCTGCAATTTATTTCTGTCCATTTCTTTTATTTCCCCACCTCCCCTCCTCCTTTTGACCTTCAAACAGGTCTAGAAAGCCAACAAATTACTCTTCATTCTCAGCCTTTGGTTTTGTGACCTTTTCTTGATGCTGTAGTATGAAGTTGTACTGAATTATAACATTTATGCTTTCAGGAAGAATGGGACACTGTTGAATTAAAAATAAATTAAAAATGTCCAGAAAGCTGTTATATGTTGCATGCAGTGTTTAAAAACCATGCACCACAATACTCGATCAAAGAAAAATAAAAGGTAGTGTGAGATAGATGCACATGGAAATGGGTCTACTGAACAACTGCCAGATGAAAAAAAAACCACTGAAAAAATACCAACAACATCAACAACAACAACATTTTTTCAGAGTCAAATTCTACGCTTGGATACCTCTGTGCCGCAATGAAAACTCTTCAAATGGGTGTACATATTTTGGATAAACAAAATTATGTAAAAAGACAGAAGATAAAATTCCTGTGCTCTGCCAAAGCGAGCCATCCGTGCCTCAAATAAAACCCACCTACCTGTGAATGATGTGGTATCTCTGCAAGTAATCCAGGGAAAGCGCCAGCTCACAGATGTACAGCTTAACAGTCCCTTCGTTAAAGTGGACGCTCTGCTGCAGATGGTAACGCAGGTCTCCTCCCAGCAGGAGATCTACCACCATGAACATGTCCTCTTCATCTTGAAAGGAGTACCTAAAAGGAAGAGTCACAGCTGAGGAGCCAGGGGCAAAGAAATGACCAGCGCAATTCCCTCTGGGTGTCTCTTGGAAGTAGATTTGTTCACGCTAAGGTCCTAATTTGCTCAGAAATAACACTGATTTCTCTACTGCCATATACAGCACTTGAAGCCCGCAGTTCCTGCCTGTGGCCAAACCTTGATGGTGGTGGGACTCTGCATAGTCAAGGCAAGCTTGAACTACTGGGGTATTCCTCGATTCCTTTTACCATAAATTAACACTTAAGCTTTGATGAAACAGTGTTTAGAATACTATTCAGGTCTACGGGGTTTCTAGATGACTCATTCAGTTGACAAAAATGGCCTTCTCAACAGCAGCAACAGAAATAAAGCCAGAGAAATGCTTTTAGTTTTCATACACAAACAAGTGTAGCTCCCTACTTCGGAAAAGTATCGTGGCAGGATGCGAACCTTATGTCCTGAGGGTATATTCTGCACTCAGTAAATGTACATGATGTTCTCTTACTGTGTATTCTCTATAGCTTGCAGCATAGCTCCAAACTCAATAAGAAATAAAACTGTACTGCCTAATGTTACTTTTTTTCAATGTATGATTTATATCTTGTAAAGTGATGGAGGCTTCATGGTTACTGACTGAAGTCTTCTGGATCCCTTCCCAGAACTAAACACTGAATACTCTGAGGGTCAAATTCTGAACTGATTTAAATCCTGTAAATCCAGAGGTATAAACAGCCAATGTAGAGTACATATAGTGCTTGGGCAAGCAGGAATTTCCATGTGTTTCTACTTACCTTGGGTATGCTGCCATTGCTCTATTTTCTTCTGACCTAAGTAAACTGACAGAAACGCTCTGGTTTTCATTTCTGAATGCTGACTTGCTAAGATATAGTATTATAAAATTCCCACATGGGGAATGGTGAATACCATGTTTCTAATATGAAATCACTCTTGTCTAAAAACCAGTTTAAATGTTCATTTTGACTTAAAGTTACATTAGCTTGTTTCAGTTATAGATATGAACTGCTGAGAGCTGATGCACAAATGTGCCTCTTCCATCACCTTTTATGCCATGAGGTGTCTACTATATGTTGGCTACAGTTTTAAATAATTGTCCTTTTAGTTGTAAGATATGCTAAAGCAGCAAAAGAGAGAAGGTTCTCAGAAAATTCATACCAAAAAAAAAAAAAAAAAAAAAGCAGAAAAGTCGATACTAGATTATTTTAATTGGTGGCTACACAGTTTCACTTCTATTCCCAGGCTTGCACTTTCTGAAATGAGGCAGTGCTTAGGGGTTGTCACAGATGATTTGTTTTGAATTTAAATGATCTCTATTCTTTCTGCACACAGTTCTGAGAAGCAAGTGTCTCTAGGTACTCTGCTCTTCTGCAGCATTTCTGTATGTCTGCCAAATGCCAGGAGGGGAAAGCCATTTTATTTGCATTAAGCTTATTTCTTAATAAGTCAAATCTCTGAAACAAAATAGTAAAGTAGGTGGCACACAGTGTCTACTCACCTCTAGAGACTCAGAATTTCATAACACAAGAAAAGAGAAGGCTTCAATTATATTCAAATTACACTGAACATTGTGCATTGCTGAGCCTGGAGCAATCTCAAAAGGGATCTTAAATATGTAGTTAATGTTTAAGGCTTTTTTTTTACGTTTTTGACACTGCCATATTTTTAAATGGAGTAGCTGTAGCCATGAACACACGTAATGAGAGATATTATGTCTTCCTTCTGTTACTGCTCAAATAAGGTAGCTTTTGTCTGGTTCTGTTCTATATTTAAAAGAAATATCTGGAATTAAAAGTTACAGACTGTAAACTCTATCCTTAAATGTATAAATGAAATATTGTATCTAGTCTGGGACTAAAGAGGTCTCTCAGTAGAATCACGCAATTACATGTCAGCAAAAATAGTTTTGACGCAACTCCAGTCTCAAGAAGAAAAATGTCCTGAGTCATTTTCTTTAATGATTCAGCTATCATGAGAGAAAGGGTGAAGGCAGGGTAAAGAGGGAGTCTAGTGAACCTGGTTTTAAATTTAACAACTACTCCTGTTCCTGGAAAAGAGATGAGTATTTTTCAAAACGTATCCAAAAATGTTTAGTCTGGATATAGGAGCCATCCAAACCACCCAGAAATAAGCGTGAAATCTTGGCCCTGTCCAGGCTAGAAATAGATTTTCACTCCAGGCTGGAGGCTCTGCTGACGTACCACACCAGCAGCGGGAATGGTGGCACTTCATTATTTTCCAAATGACCTTTTGGTGCATCTGCAAAAGGCAAATGATTTGAAAGAGTTCAAAAAGTAAAAATGGAAGCAGCTCTGCTGGGATGGAAAGCTCTGCCCCGTTCCATTAGGCCAGAAACTACCAGAATTGAATAGTCTTCAGGCATGTATGGAGTTGGGTGCAAAGGGTTGCAGACTATTTCTGTTCATACCGTGCAACAACGCAGGAGCAAGCACTGTGGGTTGGTCTAGAGATTTATCTAACAATTTAATCATCCACCCAAGGGTAGATGCCCAGGGAACACTGAAGAGTGACATGAGGATACACACATAGCATTTCTGCCCAGGACAGCTAACCTCTGCCTATTCACAGCTCTAGGACTTTCTGGGACTTTTGGGGCATCCAGGTTGGGAAGGTAAGAGGTGGGTTTTGTCCTGGGAGCTGCCAGACTTGCTAACTCCTGCTACAAAATTGTACGTCTCAGAAAAACTTGTTAACCTAAGTACAATACTTACAAACACAGCTGAATGCCTTCCAGTGGAAGTTCTACACCTGGAACAACATAACTGGAATCCAAACAGTTAAAAGAACAAATGAAGCACTTTGAGAACATGAAGAGGTATAAAGCATAGCCAACGTCTGCATTCAGCAGCTTTCCTGCATCTGTAACTGTAATTTGTAACTGGCACACTGGCCAAATTTATGTAGGCATTAAAGCTGGCTTGATAAGGCAAGCAAAGACCCAGCTTCTGCACGACTTCACATGCTCTTGCCAATGTTCTCCCCTCTCACTTGGAGACAGTTTTTTTTTGTTATTTATTGATGTAAATCTATGGTTACTGTATTGATCTTGTTGTAAGAATTGTGTATTTATACAAATTTGGTGGAGCACAAGCAGTAGATGACCAGCTAGAAAGCGCAGGTATTGTCGGTGGACATTTTCAATGCACAGAGCGAGACATTTTCACTGATGTTTAATTGTTGCACCTGACACACTGTGTGAATGGTAAACAGCCATGGATAACGACATTCCCTGCGCTGTTGATCCAGCTGGCTCAAACCTGCACGGATGGCATTCCTCAGACTGCCAGGTTCAGATCATGATGAGATAAAAGGTGCTGCAGACAAGAGATTTTCTTGAGGGTAAATGAGATTATTCCACTGCAGTTCCACTGCCTATGACGTGGAGGAGAGCTGGGACTTGCCAAGCAGCAGATGGTCTCTGGTGGTCGCTCCACTGAGTAGCTCCTGCAACCACCAAGTTTTAAACTACCAAGCAGGAGTCTCTCCAGGTCCTGCTGCTCGCTTTGGAGCTCTGCTGTGCAGAGGACAGAGAACTCACTACACCAGTTCCAATGGGATTCATTTATCATGGTCACAAACAGTTTGGTTCTCTGCCTCTCTCCTATATACAAACCCAATATTATTTCTTTGCACAAAAAAACCAAAGTATTCTATTTTACCATCTCTTTTCAATATTTCATGAAATAAGCGGGTTTGATGTATTGGTCTAAGAACTGAAATGGACAGAAAGTGAAATATTGCCCCCATGACAAATGCATCTTTGCAAATATTTCTGCAGGTTTGGAAGGTGAGCAGGGGCTGATGGCAAATCAGCCAAAGGGGAGATCTACTTTTGGAGCAAGCACTGTAATTTTACTTTTGTAAGCTTCTTATTGGCTCAAAGGTAAATAACATGCAAAGGGACTGACTGATTCTGAAATAAAATCAGAAATTGCTTGGGATTTTTATGTTAACCAGGTAGCTGAGAAATACCTTCCTGAATGAATGAATTATAGCCTTGAGTCTACTATAGAATACCATATTACTAAATTTACTAAATTACTGTAAAGCCACAGGTTTAATCCTCACAGAAATGAGAGAATAGAATGATGGAATGGCTTGTAGTTAATTGCTTCCTTTGGATTCAAGGTTTTTTTTTCTTAAAAAAATAAGTAGTCTCATGAAGCAGTGATAGGAAAACAATTCTAATTACAGCACTAGTCTCTGCTTTCTCTTGTTTAAAGAGAAGATTTAATGCATTAGAATCAGCTTTCTTCAAATTAAGACAAAATAATAATGCCTCCAGCAACAACAAATTGGATTTTTGATTATTTTCAGGCTGGAAGATAGATTGCAATTGAATTTGTTCCTCTATGGAAACAAATCAAAACAAAGCACTTTATGAATGAGTTATATTTGTTTTCATATTTATATCTCCCTATTTGCTTTTATAAGATCTATATCTTTGTATTTATGTCATTTATATTTATTATTTGTCTCTCTGTCTCTTTAAATAAGCATATACAGAAGAATTAAGATCATTTTCACCCTTTACATCCCATCTTTTGTTAACTAGGGTAATTTTTGCTGCAGTCCTACCACATGAGGTACCCACTATTCAGCCTTCTTTTTTTTAAAATGTTTTACCTATAAAGAAGGACCTTGTGATGGATATTTTATGTATGACTAATTTAAGAGTAAAAACATGTTATCAAGACCTTGCCATTAGACCCAAACCAAACTTTATCAATATGAGGTCCTCAGTTAAGGCACAAAATGCACAATTTAGACATTCAAATAACTGTAGTTCTGTAGTGAATATGATAAATGATTATGTCTTGGTGGCACCTTATTAGAAATTTTAAGCAAGATCTTTTCTTAGTTTCCCCCTGGTAGCTTTACAGGGAGGAGGTAATTTTTTTTTTTTTTTTTTTTTTTTTTTTTTTTTAACAAAGCCAAGCCCCACTGATCATAGATTTTT